CCTGGTGCAGCCGTTGGAACTGCCCTGGATACCGGCGGGCCTCCTCACGTGGTATGGGCAGGCGATGCATTTTAGCTTGGATGCTTTGCACCTCCTCAAGCGGTTCAGTGCTCAACACCAGAGCCCACGAAGGGTGATAGAGTGGGGCGAGTCCTGGGTGGACCTCGGGGTTGGCCTCGAGGCCAGACTCCCCTTGAAATCGTTTACGCTCCACGACGAGCAGGCCGACACAGAGAGTTTTTATCGCTTGTGCCCGAGTTCCTACCCTCACAGGGCGGATTCGTTTGGGTGCGTGATGATGTGTTTTGTGTCGGCATTGCTGTCGTCACCGTGGGAGGGCGGAACAGACTTGTCGGAGGAGGAGCGCTTCCTGAATGCCTCGCTGTGCTACTTTGTCTGCCTCCTGAACAGGATGCAGGCATCGGCACGGCATGGGAGTGACTGGTCCGAACACTTTCTTCCAACTGCTACATTGAAAAACGTGCTCCACTCCAACATCTCAGCGATGGTGGCCGCAGTCTTCATCCCCACTGGCACGAGTGTGGACCCCAGGTCCTATGCGGAGAAGATTGCCGAGCACCGCTTCAGTGCAATCAAGGCTCCATTTCGGGGGACGCCATCGCTGCGAGATGGCGTCCTAGGAAGCCACCTGGCACACTTGCGACAGTTTCGCGATGGCTTCGTTGCTCCCCCGCCCAAGCCGGCGACCCGCTTGCCCTTGAACAAGGCGCAGAAGCTCCTGGAATGCAGCCTCGCAGATGCCATCACCCTGCAATCCTGGATCACCATGGACACGTCAGAGGCTACCCTCCGCAAGGAGATCCTGAACCCTGCAAGCCCTATAGGCCCTAAGCCCCTCTCGATCAGTCATTGCTTAGCTCCCTAATCCCATGCGAGGACTTCCAGAGCTGGTGGAAGAGCACTGGTCGCAAGCTTGTGTCCAAGACCTCTAAGGAAGAGACAGAGCAGGCGCTGCAGGAGGAGGTCGAGTTTGAGGCCGAGGAGTGCTTCGAAGAGGGCGATGCCGCTGAGAATGAGGCTGAGGAGGTCTTGATCGCTGCCGAGGACCACGTGCGGCAGAAGGAAGACCTGGAGGAGATCAGCAAGGCTTTGAGCAATGGCGAGTTGCCATCCACCGCTCCGGCTCCTGTTGCCGCGGATGCCGTGCAGGCTGAGGCCTTGGTTCCAGCTGAGGATGCCGACCTGGAGGAGTTGCCCCCAAAAAGCTTCCATTGCTTGCTTGAGCAAGCCCGGTCGGTGGAGTGCTTCAAGCTTGAGGGCGAGGCTTGCGAGGGCTACGCAGGTTGCCGCGACCGGCAGCTAGCACTGATGCCCCTGCTGACCAAGTTCACTCAGTCGGTACGCCTCCGCGAGCGCCACATGTCCGTGGCGGCGATTCTGGGAAGCGAACGACCGCCATTGTCCGCATATCATGCCTTGCAACATGAGCTCGCCCTAGCACGCCATGCCACGAGCACAGACGGCTCCCGCCAGAGCCGCATGAGGACATGGATGTCAACGACGGCCTCTTTGTTCGCCATGCTTGAGAAGCACGACGATGGCGACTGGCAGATTCGCAGAGCGGAGCGGCTGAAGACTGGGACCGGACCCAGTGCACAGGTTGTCGTCTTCAAGGATCACGACCCGGCGACCGGTCTTGTCACCCTGAGCCTCGGCCAGCTGCGAACCATCTTCAGGGGTGCCACGGTGCGCACCAAAGATGATGGCCCTCGCAAGCTCAGGAGTGCCAAGCCAGTGGTTCAGAGCCTGCCGTTGACATCGGTGGCCCGCTGCAGGATCCTTCGGCTCAGCAAGCTTTCCGAGCATCACTACTACTACTCAGCCTTCAGCGAGATGCTCATGGTCGACCCCTTGGGCACAGTGGTAGGCGAGGTGCGGGTGCGAGAGATGCAGGAGAAGTTCGGCAAGACCGTGCTTGCCTTTGGCGACCGAGCCATGCGAGGATTCCACACCTGGCAGCAGAATGCCGCTGAGCTGCTCAAAAGTCTCAAGGACCCAGTCGTGCCGGCAGAAAGCCCGGCTGAGATCGCGCCAGCAGTCGTGCAGAGCCGCATGTACAGCTGGAACGACTTCTCCAGAACCGCTGCCGGCACGAAATGCATCAAGGAGTTCATGGAGACGCTCCCGCTGCTGTACGAGGCCAAGGAAAAGCCCATCCTCACAGACGGCTGCTTCTCCTTCCCGATTTCTGGCGGCAGCCAAAAAAGCATTGCTTGGCCAGAGGTGGTGACGCTCGCCCTGATTCTTTGTTTAGTGGTTTCTTAGGGTCCGGGGCTGCAGCTACATTTTTTAAGCCTGTCTGTCCCACGGCTCCCATCCAAAAGCATGCTCGTCCGAGATTGCGCAGCCCCGACTTCTTCGACACGGTGCTCCAGGGCAAGAGTTCCAAGGACTTCGGCACATGTGTGCTGAACATGCTACGCGATGTTTTGCCGGCACCGGGGCCGGAGTGCACTCAAAAGCTGCGCCGGTTAGTGCGATGGCTGGACGAGGCATCTCATCAGGTGTCCGAAACTGAGCATCCCCACACGCTTAGATCACGAACTTGTTCAAAAAAAAATCACTTGCCACTCCTAGGCTCAAGATTTGATGGGTGTCGCTGCCGATCGCTTCCACAGAGGGGCTCGCCCCTCAATGACGTGCTATCGCAAAGCATTTCTGCTGTAGGGAAGGGCTTGCAGATCCAAATCCTCCTATTTTGGCTTAGGTTCGTGGCGGCTGCTTCACGCCCACGGGGGCTCAACAGCAAGCGGCGATGAAGCAGTGGAGCTGAAAAAAAAGAGAGTGCAACTTTTGAGTGCTTAACGTCCCTAAACTGTGTCTTGCATGCCCCAAACAGTCCCAAACATCTGCTGCAACTTTTGAGGGTTTAGGGTCGCTGACACACCGTCTCGTAGGTCCAGCTCTGCATGTCATTCACTCGTGATGTCTCCTGAGGGGGGGGTCCCTCATCCACTGGATCATAGCAACATAGGGGGGGAGGGGGGCTAGAAGCGCAACCATTGCACCTGTCATCGTCCCCCCCAGCGAACGCATGGGGGATGGCGGGGACTTGATGCACGGACAACTTTGGCGGGGACGGCGCGCGACCCTGGCGGGGACGGCGGGCAACCCTGGCGGGGACGGCGGACGACTCTGCTGTGACAGCAAAAGGGCCAAAAACAGCTTGGCAGACGACTCCGGAGGGGGACGGCGGACGACCCTGGCGGACGACTCTGGCGGGGACTTGGCGACTCTGACAGGGACTGAAAAAGCCAAAAACAGCTTGGCAGACGACTCTGGAGGGGATGGCGCCTTATCTCCCAGCGCGAGAACCCTGGCGGGGACGGGACCTGGTAGAAAGAGCTTGACGAGCGACCCTGGCGGGGATGGCGAGTCCTCTGGCGGGGACGGCTGACCACCCTGGCGGGGACTTGGTGGACGGACGACTTTGGCGGGGACGGGCGGGGACGGCGGACGACTCTGCTGTGTCAGCAAAAGGGCCAAAAACAGCTTGGCAGACGACTGTGGAGGGGGACGGCGGACGACCCTGGCGAGGACGGCGGGCGACTGGCGGACGGGAGGGACGGCGGACAACTCTGGTGGGGACTTGGCGATGACTTTGACAGGCACGAAAAGGCCAAAAACAGTTTGGCAGACGGACGACCCTGGCGGGGACGGCGGGCAACCCTAACGGGGACGGCGGACACTCTGGCGGGCACTTGGCTTTGACAGCAACTAAAAAAGCCAAAAACAGCTTGGCAGACGATTCTGGAGGACAGCGGACGACCCTGCGGGGACGGCGGGCGATCGTGGCGGGGACGGCGGACGACCCTGGCAAGGACGGCGTAAGGACCTTGGCGGGGACGGCGGGACCCAGTGACGGGACGTCCTAGAAAGAGCTTGGGGACAGTGGCCGACTCTGGCAAGGAGCTTGGAGTGCGAGTCTGGCGGCAAAGCTGGACAATTCTGGCACGGACTGCCGGGCGAAAAAACCCTGGCGGCCGACTGGATGATCAGCACTCTTGGCCGGACTGGCACGGACAGCGGACGGCTGCAGACCACTTCTGGAGGCCTGGCACTGGGCCCTGACGGACGACTCTGACGACGGCTGACGGACGACTCTGGCGGCCGGCGAGGACGAGCGAGGGCGTCGCTGCTATTTTGTGACTACATCACTCGGATGTCCCTGTGACGTTCCGCAACATTGCAACGTCTTTTCGGCTAGTGCAGCACTCGAATAAGAAGAAGCAGAACACAAAACCCGTTCTAGTCCTGCTTCGGGTGGTTGTGGGTGGGTTCCACGTTACGAAGACGGCGCGACCCACGACCACTCCATGGGTGGGGCGCGCCGTGGCACTGTGACACACCCCTAAACCCTAAACCCTAAACCCTAAACCCTAAACCCTAAACCCTAAACCCTAAACCCTAAACCCCTAAACCCCTAAACCCCTAAACCTAAACCTAAAAACCCTAAACCCTAAACCCTACCGGCGCGCTTTGGAGAAAAGGGCGTCATTGCACTTTAAAAAAAAACCTAAACCCTAAAAAAAAAACCCTAAACCCCTGAACCCGGAACCCTGAACCCTAAACCCTAAACCCCTGAACCCTAAGCCCTAAACCCCTAAACCCTAAGCCCTAAACCCTAAACCCCTAAACCCCTAAACCCCGGAACCGTCTACCGTCTAAACCCTAAACCCTAGGAACCCCTGAACCCTGAGCCCCAAACCCTAGAAAAACCCTGAAGCCGGAGCCTTGAACCCTACTGGAAGGGTCGGGGACTTAGTAAGGGCTCCTTTAAAGGGGATTCTAAGGGTTCCTTTAAAGGGCTCTATAGGGGTACTATAAGGTTTAGGGGTTCAGGGACTTAGTAAGTAGGTAGTAAGTAGACTTATAAGTACCCCAAAAAGGGGCCCTAATTGGGCTGATGGTGCTTCTAAGCCCCTATAAAATAACCAGTTACTAAGTCTCCCGACCCTCCAAGTAAGCCCTGACCTCAGGACGAGTTCACTCAAGCAGTGTCGACCATGGAAAGCCTCAACGACCATGATCGGAATGAGGAGGAAGAAGGCATCGGGACCTGAGGTGTTTTCGGTTTTACAAGAAGGTTTAGTGATTTAGGGTTTACAGTAAAAGCCAGAAAGTTGGAATATCATTATCGTAAACCCTTCTAAGGTAAATTGTAGGGGATCCTACCATGAAACCATATTCCAACTTTCTGGAGTTCCCTTTTAGGGATTTAGGGGCCTAGGGTTTCTGTGGCCTTATAGGGCTTCGGGGCTGTCATAGATTAGACCTGTAGTTTCCATTGTAGTTCCATTTTTGGGGGGTACCTCACATAGCATCCAAATTATATATTTGGTTAAACCAAGAAAAGGAACTACAATGGAGACTCTAGGGAAGGTTGAGCACGGAACCTTTCACTTCGGTACGCGTGGTTCGTTGGTGTGAAAGTTGATGCAGAGTCCAGGGTCACGTTGCTCTTAAACAACGTTCACAGGATGTTTGCTTCATCCCGATATACATTAATTATACAGAACGCGTCAAAATACCAGAGTATTATCCGGGTCAAGAGGGTTACCACAGAAACTTGTGGAATTCTCAGTATTGTCGCTTGGGTTCCTCATTATATGTAGTTGTCGTTTAACATAGGCGCAAACCCTTTTCTAAGTATTAAGTCCCGTTCATGTTATAAACCCGAATATGGAATTTATATTGGCCATACAAGAAGTAGGTTCTTCCCTAAACTCTGAACCTCTGTAAGGCCGACGTTGGAACTCAATCGCCCCGCAGACATCATGTTATAAACCCAACGATGGAGTTTATAGGGGCCCTAGAACAACAAAATAGCTTAGAATAGCTTCTAATGTAGGAACCTGCTTAAGAAAACCTGGGCCTATAACCCAGAAAATCGTGATAATAGTAGGGTTTATATAAGGAACCCCCAAGGCTTCGTAATCAGGTTCCTACATTAGATGAGAACTCCAGCGTCGCACAGAAATCGGCGCGGCCTTGAACCGACGCTCTAAGAAGCCGAAGCATCACCCGCCTCGCAGATGACGAACTGGAGAAAGCGCAGGACTGTTTGGCTTATAGGGTTTAGGGCTTAGGGTTCAGTGTAGGGTTTAGGATTCAGGGTTTAGGATTCATTGTTTAAAACGGATGTATTTTTGTAGACTGAGTTGCAGAGACCATGCTCGGAGGTTGTCAGTTGTGGATGTGCATTGTTCAGTGCTTCGACCTCGAATCCCAAACTTGCGGGACCAAGACAGCAAACCTGTTGTAAATACATTACTACGGTCTCAGTAATACCCTTATTCCCTTTTTGTAGTCCTAGGTTCCTTATAAAGTTACCCAATACCAGAAAGGGAGCCCTGTTTATTCCTGGTTACTGGGCATCCTAGATTATATACAACCTACAGCTCCTGAAGCTGCACAGAGACAACCCGAGTTGTAGAAAACATGCGCTATGCCTTGGAAGGAGCACTGAGTTCCAGCTTCCTGCAGCCTGAGAGCGCAATGGGGGTTTGGGGTGTCTGCATGAACTTGCATCTCAAGCCTCCACACGCGGTTCCTGACTTTGGGGTTTCATACAGTTGTATAGTTGTATGAGGCGTGTATCGATTTGCGAAACTTAGCATCGCAATCCTTTCAGGCATCTTGCCTATCTCAAGTCGGCGCACTCAGAGTTTCAATCCCAAGGTCAATATTCGGTTTCAAGTTTCATTCTATAGTAATTTTACCACAATAAGGATCTATAGTAATTTATTCCGATCCTGATTTACTCTCGTCGGTCACTCGATTGAGAGTGGCGAAGGCTGACAGCATCTTCCCAAAGCGTCTCAATCTGTTGTGTGGCAAATTTACAGTACTCAGAACCTGCCGACTGCAACATAGCCTTGACTCCCTGGTGCTTGGCAGTATAGTAGCTAGTTCCTACTTTAAACCCATGCAATAGTCCCCATAGTCCATTCCCCCACTACCTACTAAGTTCCGGGGACTTGAGAGTTCGATATGTCGGATTTCCGGCTCCTTGTGCTTGCCCGACCCATCCGTGTTTCACCTATCAGTCCTTCTGGTCGACATCTGCAAGGCTGACATTTCAGAAGGGGCTGCAAGCAAGAAAAGGGCAGAGCAGGCGCGAATCTCAAATCCAAACATACCGCGAGCACATATTAACATATGCGATAGCACATTGCCATGTAGACGCTGTACTAAGCCCTCCACACTCCAATTCTTGTGGTCGTGCTTATGGAGATGTACTCTCGCAAAGTCGGCGACAAAGACCAGCCAACAGTGTACCCTGAAAGTCGTCGAGCCCCTAAAATCCCTAAGCCCGGACCTTGACCGCGACAACGACATCTGCGGACCCTATGTGCGGTTTTCTAAATGTTACAAACGAAATTCTCGCTTGGGGTTTCCCAAAGAGTTCATCACTGTCTCGACAATAAGGGTCTAAGCAGACCGACTCCGAATGTTGCAAACCCAACATATAGATAGTAATACAGTAGAAAACTTCCCAGAGAGCCCAATACCTCTTAAATAAGGAATATAGCTTAAACCATAATATGAAGCCTTATATAATCTAAGCCATATTCCTTAATTAAGAGGTATTGGGCTCTCTGGGTTCAGTTCGGAGGAGCGCCCAGTTGCGTGCCCGTTCAAAGCCATGTAAAAACCATGCGAGAAGGCGAGAAGCCGGATCCTATGCAACAACTTTGACCTTCTATGTTAAACTTCGCATGGTTCTTGCATCCGTTGCACGAGTGGGGCCAGCATCTGGGAAATGCAGCTTTGCGTGTTGAAGCATTTAGGAAGTTAGGGATTCGGGAGTTTGGGGTCTTCCTGATTTCACATCGCAGGTTTCAGAAGTACTTCATAAGCAGTCGTTCGGAAACCCACTGTCCTTGGCAGCTGTGCTTGCAGATGACTCCGTCAAGCATGGGTTCAGGCCCTCTACCTAGTAGTCGAGTGGGTAACCTTTAACCTTTTTTGGGTAGTATGGTCCCTATATAATCCCTATATAACCAAAAAAAGTTAACCTTTAGTTCCCCATGATACCCGACAAGTAGGTCTACATCCATCCATACATCCGATGCGTTTGTCTGCTTATTACCTGTAATCTTGTTCAAGATACTGACTACCTCCCCCGGTATGCCCGCCTCTGTCTGTTTCACCATTTCGGCGCGACGCCTCTGTCTCTGCATGCAGTATTTCATGCTACATGGCAAAACATGCCAGGCGCAGGGCACAGACACGAACGGAAGCTTTAAGGTGTGGGTGCCCGACCACCCCAAGCCATGTGGGCCCGAAACCTCAGATAAAAAAAACTATGAACCCAAAGCCCTAAGCTTAAGCGCATGAAAGCCCTAAACCACAACCCTAACCCCGCCCCCCTAAAGCCCCCAGATTCGAACCCCTGGGCACTTGGCCTCTAACCTACCTCCGAGAACTGCAAGCTTTCTGTGCATACAGCAGTATGCAACCGGAAGCTTGTTTTATCTAGCCTCTTGGCTGTAAAGCCCTGAACTACACACCAAACCTTGAATACTGAGCCCCAAACCCTAAACCCAGAACCTTCTAGCTTAGGTCACCATAGGCTGCTCCATGACACCCTACACCCTTGAACCCCAAACATTGTTTAAGGTCCAAATCCTCAAACCCGGAATGATTACCCTAAACCCCTCAACCTTTATAACCCCTGAACCCTTCAACCCTTAAACCCCTAAACCCCTCAACCCCTATAAACCTCTATAAACCCTAGCTTGGGAGCCATGCAGCCTTCGCACTCCGTTGACTCTGAGGGCTTTTCGGCCGCAGCCTTGGCAGTTGACCTCCCGAGAGCGGTTTGATCGGTGCAGGGTTTCGGGGTTTATGGTTTGCGGGTTTAGGGTTTAGGGTTTGTTAGGGGTTTAGGGTTTAGAGGTTTAGCGGCTTAGTGCTAAGGGGTTCAGGATCGGGTTTAGGGGTTCAGGCTTTGGGCTTAGGGGTTTAGGGGCTTAGGGTGTGGAGCCTAGGTGTTTTAGGGGGTTCCTAGAGCGATCGAAGGGGCTCGGAGAAAGGCCAGGGATCGCCAGCAGCTGCTCGAGGCAGCAGCCAAAGACTGGCGCACGGCCAGCTTCGAAGGCAGGAGGCAGATCCAAAAGCTGCAAAGGCCCAGGTTGCCAAAGGGTTCGCTGGGCCAGGCAGCTCTCCGGGACTTTGGCCTGGGCGAGGCGTGCAGCTCGTGCGACGAGCGTACCAAGGCCAACCGACCTTCGCTACGAACGCGGGCCCTGAACCGCTTCTCTGCGGCGGGCTTGAAGGCTCGCCTCCTGGAAAGCAAGGCAGCCCGGCTGCAAAGCTGCCAAGGAGCAGCAGGAAGAGGAGGAAGATGAGTGCGGCCCAGATGGAGATGGGTCAGGTCCCGACTGGAGCCCCGAAGAAGTAACAAGTCTCATCCATTGAGGCTTCGTCTTATGAATAATCTACCCCTAAAAGTTTATTCGAATTATTAAGGCCTCTTTGGTACTACTTGTACAGTAGGACGAAGGTCGAAAAATGCAGTAGTCCTTTAGGTTTCTGGAAGGTCCCTATGCACCTCGACGGCCTGAACCCATTTTTTGCAGGGTCCCCTGCCCTTGTATGCTAGAGTGCCCATATGCAGAAAGGTCTTGGTAAGTTTTGATTGGGGTTTCCGAAAATTAGGGGTGCCTCATTTTGGGATCTTTGTAATAAGGGTCCTACTATTTAGGGGACTACATTAGGGTCCCCTATTTTCGTATGCAGTTGCATGTTCAGGTCCAGTTTTGGACACCTCCAGGAGCCGAGGGGCTCACGGCCTGTATCGGTAAAAGATTGTATATAGGGTTTAGGGTTTAGGGGTTTAGGGTAGAGGGTTAAGCCTTTGGTCCTAGAGCCGTAAACCCTAAAGCCCTCAACCTGAGTCTCTAACTCCAGACCTCAGGCCCTCAACGGTTGATGATATAGATCCTGCATTACCCATGATAAGGAATATAGCATAATTCCCATAGTTTAGGGTCCTTAAGATAAAGCAGGATTTATATCATCAACCGCATGACCCCTTCAACCTGGACCCCCCCTAAACCCTAAACCCCTGAACCTTGAACCTTTCATGCAACGCAAGCTATTGACGGAATCCTAAACCCTGGGCACCTCGGGAACACCTCCCTACCCTACCCTACCCTACCCTCCCCTCCGCCCCTCCCCTCCCTACCCTACCCTAGCCTACTACTACCCTAGCCTACCCTACCAAACACCTCGGGAACACCTGGGGCGCTCCGACAAGCAGATCCACTGGGAAGGTCGGCGATCGCGTCGGCTTCCGGATTCTGTGGCATGGCCGATGGGGTATATTTAGGGTTTAGGGTATAGGCCTACCATAGTCTTGCAGCTTCTCTTTTGGGATAAGCCAATTTCATATCTACTACCCTGCAACGGAACCCCAAACAGGAACTATAATGGAGACTACAGGTAAGCCCACATTACAAACCCCCCAAAACCACGTTTTTAGTTTACGGTTTTGGGTTCCAGGAACTCCCAATGTGATGGTTAAGGCTTCAGAGGGTGGCAGGTCTCGTGGCTTATGGTTTTAGGGTTTAGGGTGTCGGGCGTCTAGGGTTACGCAGTTGAAGGGTCCGGAGTTCCGGGGTTTTAGGCTGTAAGAGTTTAGGTACAGTTCATGAGTCTCGGGTTACGGGGTGATGTAGTGCGACGAATGCTGGATCTGCACCCAATCGCAAAGCTGCGGCAAAGCTCTATCCGTCGGAACTCTGACCCTGCGCTGCGCGTGCGGGCGGAGGGAAGGCTGGCCGGAGCGGAGAGGCTGGTGCATCATCTCACGCGACGATGCAACAAACTACAGGGCCGCATACGAGCCCTGGAGCGCTTGTCCAGCGACCAAGCTCGGTCGCTGGATATCCTTGAGGATTATGCACGCCTCCATCGAGGCAGGTAAAGGCGTTCTGGGACGACAAACTTCAATGATGTGTGCCCAGCTGTGATCCGGATGATGATGAAGCACGAAGGGGACCTCAACATACTTGCTGTTCCTCCCTTGGTAAGTTCTGAGTTGTTTAAAATAAGAGCACTCCTGTTTCATCCGTTTCTGAACATGAAACTAAGAGGAAGATCTATGCCAGCCTTGACTAGTTTCGTCGCCTCTGAGTCCGGCGAAATGTATATGTATATATATATATATACATATATATATATATATATATATATAATACACACACACACACACACACGTCTCGTGTGCGTATGCATGGGGAAAGACAGGTTTCTCCAGGGTTCCTGAGCTAGTGTGTCAGTATGTCTGGTGGCCCTGAAAGCACCGGCATGGTACGGTTGATGATATAAGTCCTGCATTACCCTGAATAAGGAATATACCAGAATTCCCATAGTTTAGGGTCCTTAAGTAAGGTAATGCAGGATTTCTATCAACCCTGAACCCTAAACCCCCTATAGACCCCTTAGAGGAGCCCCTTA